GGTGCTGGGAATGCCAGGTTGCTGCTTTTAGCTGTGCCGGCTTATATGGGCTTAAGGTGTTTGTGGGGTTACCGACCCTTTGTAGGGTTTTAGAGGTAAGTTTGGTGGGGCTAAGCTTACGAGCTTAGCTTTTTTTCCAGAAGAGGCAGATTCTGTTTCTGTCCTTGAGTTAGGAGTATGGTGCTGCGTTCGGCTCTGGCGGGGGGAGGAAGGCAGGGATGCTGCTGTGGGATTAAGCGGTAGGGGAACAGGAGATAGCAGGAGGGGAGCCAGCAGGCAGCACCTGTACTGGTGCTGTACTGAGCACTCCGTTCTCAGCTGGAGTTATGAAGTTTCCTGTACTCGGACTACCTGGAGACTTTTATTTTGTTCCCTTGTGGCTGTGTTACCTGTAGGACACTGTAGGTGACAGAGACATCTGGTGGGCCCCTGCCTCCGGCAGGCAGCAGGGTAGGTGTGTAGGGGGGGTACGGCCAGACGCAGGAGGAAATGCCTCGCTTCCCTGCGCACCAGTGCCTGCCGTGATGGAGAAGCGATGGCACACCGGGTGGCACCTGGTGCCGGGGCTCGCCTCCTGAGACTTGCTGTGGTCATCACCTTCCCGGGAAGGGGCTGCTTTGAAGGGAGGGTTGTGAAACGGGGTGAAGAAAACGCAGCGGGGTGGTCAGACTGCTTTTACCCTTTTGATTCCTTGTGTTTATACTTTATTATAGTGCATCAGACCATTGAATAACGTGGTGGGTTTTACACAACATGCCTGAATGGCAAGTGAGAAGTGGAATTGGGTGACACATTCCTACCTTACTCTCATCTGAATTTCTCCCAACAGATGTGCTCTTGTAATGTGCTTATGTTTTCTTGAAGCTGCCTTTCTAGGTGCAAGTTCTCCATCAAAAATAATTCAGGCAGCCCTACCCTGGCTGGGCTGTCATAGTACCTAGCTGTTTTTTCAAAATGTTTGATGCTTTTCTTGATAAAGCTTGCTTTGAAAGAGCCTATTCTGGGTGCTTGTGGAGATCTTTTGGGTGTTCCTTGATTCCCTCACGAATATGAAGAGCTGAGTATTTATGTAATCTGATAAGTAATTAGCACAGCAGAAATGTGCCGTTTTCATGCCAGGTCTGTGAAGATGGTAGCCTCCTTGGGAAGAGACACGAGTAGAAGTAAAAGCATAAACAGCAGTAATTGAAAATGTGGAACCTAATTTCTTCTGGATAGTACTATAAAATTACCCCAGAAGTGCCCTATGCCATTCTGTTTGTAAATTCCTCTATAAATGAGGTTCTGGGGAGCTCTTGTTATTGTTGCTTTGCAGGCTGCAGTTCAGTTAAATGTACTGTGAGGTATGAGGGGATATTTTGTTTGGTTGTTTTTGTTTTTTTAATAATAATACCATAGCTTTTCCCTGCTTTGCAGCTGGAAGAATTTTTAAATGGAAAATTGATAAATATTTGATGGCAATTAGTAGCAGCCATAACGATACCGAGGTTTCAAGCCTAAAAATACCCGTTTGAGAACAGTGGATGCAAGAACAGTATAACAGATCTGTCAAAAGACTAAGGTTTTTTCAGGTCATTGAAAGATGTTTCCTATTTTGTTTGATAAACTGTGTGTAATGAAACATGCAAATCCAGAGAAGGCTTTTTTAAGTTTAGGTAAACCAACTTTCCTGTAAGAACTTTAGCTCTCATTTGTGTTTTTGAGAGTGTAATACTAATGCAGTACTAACAAGTTTTTGTGCGATGTATTTATGTATAGTGTATATACATGTGCTTGAAGAAATGTGCAGTTGAATGATAAGATTTTTTTCTGGGTTGCAAATGATATGGACTACAGTAATTGCAATATGTAATAAACACATCTTCAAGTCTAGTAGCTTCTGCAAAACATCAGTGTTTGGGCATAAGAAGGGAAACCTCATACTGAAAGGGCTTAACAAAGATTAAGCCAGCAATGCTCAGTGCCGTATAGACACGCTATGTATTTCCAGAAAAAGCTTATGATTCTGTAGTAAATTCATAATGAAAAATTATGGAAACCTATCGGTTTGAGTTCTGAAAGAGCCTTTTTGATGAAGGAAAGGTCTGGAAGGTGGAAGGATGGGGCAGCGCTCTCCTTTCAGTTTCAGTAGTTTTAGAGTTTCTCCCATGGACCAGAGGTAATAACCCCCGTGTCACCCACACGTTCAAGTGGGGTGGATTCAGTTGCTTCATTCACCCACGCAGGGATGCAGTAGATGAGACATTATATAATCCGGTGTCCCTACCGTGCTATTTGTTTGGGCAGAAATCCCAGAAAAGGCTGCAGCCAGAAGGCATTGTTTTCCCAGCAGCGTTACCCGTTTCGTCTGTTTTCACCCACAAGGGAAGAGGCTCCAGGAATGGCCGCGCGTTTGTAGTGCATTGCACATCCGCGTTTTGAGCGGTAGCCAGGATGCTGCGCTCTCAGACTGAGCTGGAGGCGCGTTGTGGTGTACGCTCCTTGCTGCGAGAGGACCTTAATCCATCTTCAGTGGATTCAAGAAGGTTAAATGCTTGAGACCCAAATGGCTCAGTCCAGAACTGCTAACCCTAAATCTCCAGCAATTAGGAGCTAGATCCCGAGATGCTTAGAGTGACTGCCAGAGACTGAGTGCAGAGCCTTTATTGTGAGCCTTTGTGATTCGGCTTTCTGAGCTAGGATTTTTCATTCAGTAAATAACAGGACGTGAGGACAGGCATCACAAGAAAAGAAGAAAGTTCTGCCTTGTGTCTCTACCTTCAGAAGTAAGAGAGAGTTGAAGTCAAATGTCTGATCACGTTTTGAAAGCCAGCAATTCCTCTCGTGTTTGCCAGAGGAGACATAAATTCTCTAATCTCTGTGTTTCACCTTCTCCAACTGTAAAATGGGGAAGATGTATTGCTACTTTTGCGTGAGTGCTATGCTGAGCAGATATACCAATATTTAGCGATGCGCTAGTGCTGTATTGGTGCTGGGCTCTTGGAGACCCAATTGTAACAAGTGTGTCTGTAAATGTATGAGATTTCTAAGTTATGAAGTTGCAGAAGCATATGTAAAGGCAGATTTCCCTCCTGCCCAGTGAAGGAATGATATGCCTTTCATTACACGCTTGTGATTGTGTGTGTTTTATCCTTGGAGGTCATGCAACTATCTGAGATAAGTAGTGAATTAATCTTTATAAAGTACTTCTAATGTGAAAAGTGCTGCTCTGTGCAAGAGCCAAATTTAGGTGTCAGTCTTGTGATTAAAAACTTGTTTAGAACAATGAACCCACTCTTCTGGGAGATCTGAGCATCTCCAATCCCTTAAATAACCTGGATACTTAAATAATATTAACGCCACGTGGCATCCAACGTAAAAGTGTATAACACCTTGCAGGACCTGGAAATAATTTTATCTGAATTGTCATGTCTGGTAAAGCTGTTGCTCTGATTGAAGAGCTACCGCTAGTCTAGAGTATTAATTTAAAAAGAAAAGTTTGTTGGATAATGTTGCCTTTAAAAACACAGAAAAATAGTTTAAAAGCTTTATTCTCATTGAAACAGAACCTGAAGGGCCTTTTTTGTCTGTATGTTTGTTTGTTTACTTGCCTTTTTTCCTTCTTAGAACTATTTTGATGGAAAACTTTCCCCTCAAGGGAAAATGCCTTGGATTGAATACAATCACAAGAAAGTATCTGGCACTGAGTTCATTATTGACTTTTTGGAAGAGAAACTTGGAGTGAATTTAAATAAACACCTTGGTCCACACGAAAGAGCTGTTTCCAGAGCCGTGACAAAAATGGTGGAGGAGCACTTCTACTGGTAAGCTTGCATGGCAAAGCTGGCTGCGTTCTTGTGCTGTCAGATCTGCCCCTGCGCTCGTGCCTGGACGTGAATGCTTATTTTCTCTTGCAGAAAGCTTGGGTACCCAATTATTAATTTCACAACTCTCTTCACCCTAGAAAACTGCTGCTTCTTTCTGCGTACGCTAGTATGAGCCGGGGGTAGTTCCCCTGAAAAGTTGTCATGCTGTGTAAGCCAGGTAAGGAGTCAAGCCCTTTGTCTGCAGCTTTGCAGAAGGGAGCAGCAGCGGGCTCTTCCTCCGTCCTGTTTCACGTGACCTCCGTAAAGAAACAGCCTTGTTAATAAAGAGCAAAAAATCAAGATGGCTGAATACATTTGTGGTTTGGGGGCTGAATACATCTGAAATGTATTCAGATGGCTGAATACATTTGGCAGGGGAACAAATCCAGTGTTCATAGTAAATCTAGAATATTGTTTTCTTACAGTTACTGATTTTAATTATCTGGGTATGCAATTACAATATGGATTATTGCCTTTCCTGTAACACAGGATACTCCTGTTAATATGTATTGTGACAACACTGCCAGTTGATAGGATACAGTATTAGTCACAGTATCCTGAGAAGCTGAAGTATGTATATGAATAGAAAACATAAATATAATCTTGCTGGTACTTTATGCATTTTACTGACACCTTTGAAAATAATATCTGTGACTTGCCCCCCACTTTACATTCCAGTCCTTTTTAAGTGCCCTTTCCAGTCTGGATTCATAGAAGTAGCAGGTGGACGTGGCATCTTGGATGCTGCATTGGCTGCCTCAGCAGGCACAAAGCTTTTTCCCAATAGTTTGCTTTCTAAAGCAAATGCGTTTAAATCCTTGCTGTACTAAGTCTTGCATTCATGTTGCACTTTTTTTTCTTCAAAACAATGTGTGATTTAAATTGAATGCATTTACCTGCTTTTTCTTTTACCTTGTGATCAAAGATGAGCAGCAACGTGTGTACATATAGTTCTTCAAATAATTTTTAGTGTTTCCTGGGAACAATTCTAGCATTCAGTATGCAGATTTAAATGATATGGTTTAGAAGTGTAATTCCTGCCTTCCAAGAAATGTGACCTTCACCAATTATACCCATCTGCAGTGCTATAGCTTCAAAAATCTGACTCAAGAAGGGCAACGAAGCTGGTGAAGGGTCTGAAGAACAAGTCTTATGAGGAGCGGCTGAGGGAGCTGGGGTTGTTTAGCCTGGAGAAAAGGAGGCTGAGGGGAGACCTCATTGCTCTCTACAACTACCTGAAAGGAGGTTGTAGCGAGGTGGGTGTCGATCTCTTCTCCCAAGTAACTGGCAAAAGGACGAGAGGAAATGGCCTCAAGCTGCGCCAGGGGAGGTTTAGATTGGATGTGAGGAAAAATTTCTTTCCTGAAAGAGTAGTTAAACATTGGAAGAGGCTGCCCAGGGAAGTGGTTGAGTCACCATCCCTGGAATTATTTAAAAGACGGGTAGATGAGGCGCTTAGGGACATGGTTTAGTGGGCATGGTGGTGTTGTGTTGACGGTTGGACTCAATTATCTTAGCGGTCTTTTCCAACCTTAATGTTTCTATGATTCTAAGTAGCCTGCCTGTGTAGGTCTTTTTTTTTTTGTTCATTTTTCCCCCCTCGATTATTATAGCTGCCAAAGGGAAGATGAGGCCTTTTAATCCCTTAGTGCTCCATCTCCTTGCCTTAGTGTTGGTTGGTTCATGGTCCGTAGACTTAACTGCTTTAAATGTAACATTACTGATGACAAACTTATATCGCTGTTGTGTCTCAACTACAAATTGCACTTTCCTCTGTGAAGCTGTTGTCTGTCCATCCAGGCTCCCTCTGAGCTGACTCAGCACTGCTGGGCATGACACAGGGGAGCATAGGGAACAGGTATTGCCAATTCAGGCGCTGACCCAGGGGGGTGGCATTGAAATGGGTGGACAAAGCTAGACCAAGTAGGAATAGAGATGTGCATGCCTGGCAATATATCCCCGTTGCCTTTCCTGTTTAGTCACACAGCTGAGTTTCTCTAAGGCATGTATTTTTGCTGCAGTGTAGTAAAACATCCAACTGTTAAGTCTTACTGTATGTCCCTGCTGTGTGGCTGTACCAGAGGCTTGCTATGTTGGTGAGGTTACACCATGCCAGTTCTCTGTACCAGGCAAAGCCTGAGCTATGAGGCATCACCGTTGTCCTGCTGTAATTCCTGGATAACAACTTTGACCATCCTGTAGTTACACTAAAATAAAATCAGGCTTTAGCTGTGTAGGACCACCTTTCTCCCTGACAGCATTGCATCTGTGGTTGTGGGATCCCTTCACATCGGACCTTGAACCTGTCTGCTTCCCACCAGAAGCTTAGGGTTTGTTCATGGTGTCCTCAAGTCCCATGGTGAGGAATTTGTAACAGTGATCGCCTTTCTGCAAGATAAGGTTTATAAAATCGAGCCTCCAAAGCAGTGATATTAAATGTGATTCATACTGTTTCATTGCCAGCAGCATGCAAAGTAGCTTCATCATAAATAAGTGATACTGTAGTACATTTATCGAACAAAGAAGCAAAGTACATCCTGTGGTGTGCTGTCTCTGGATGGAGCTAATCCTGGTGGGTGCTCAGCATCTCCTCCTGAACTGTTTTACTTTTGCTGAGGTAATTGCTCATCTTTACCAATTAGTGCCTCTTACAGGTGAAAATTGCTGCTCTGGCTGGAGTTGAGAGCAATGCAGGGCTGTTGTGAACCTCAGCCTCCAGACACCCTGCCGCTGCCCCAGGCTGCGATGTCTGGCAGGGGTCAGGCTAAAAGACAGCAAGCGAGTGAGCGTACCTATTTTAGTGCTAATGTTAGAGCACATCTCCGAGATGCACAAGACTGATTTGGAGCTGGCACTGGAGCTCCTGCCCCTGGAGAATGCTGTAACTATTAGGTTTTTGCTATGTTTAAATCGGCAAAAGGAAAAAAGCCTGCTAACCTGTATGGGTGTTGGGCTGAGTCAGCAGGGAGGAGATGGGAGCGGACCGATTTTGTGGCTCTTGTCCCCGGTCCTGGATCTGGTGCAGACCTCTGTAATCTGCTGAAGGCTTGCCCTGGATTGCCTCCGCTGCCTGCAGTGACCTGTGGGCCCTCAGAAACCAGCGGGGCACCCACAGCCATCTTCAGGATGCATTGAGTTTTTGGTGTATCTGCAGCACGTTCGTGGGATCGGACCCCTATGTAAGACAGGCTGGAGGATGTCAGATTCTCATGTCCTTCTGGCACTGGCTTGCTGGGCTTGCTGGCACTGCCGGCATTCAAACCAGGCAGCTCCTGGTGCCTGGAGGGCTAGCAGTTGCTGCGAGGTGCTTTCTGGCACTTTAATCTCAGGAGAGGGATCTCAGGTTGGCGACATTAATGTGCTTAGAGAGAAGCTAAAGCCTTGAATATGCAGTATCTAACCCATTAGCTTGGTTTAGCTGTATTGTCAAACACAACCTTAGTGATTTATAAGTGTGTGTGTATACACACATACATATTCAACTAATTTCTCGCTTTGTCTTCCGAGAAGACCATGTAAACATCACATATATGATGAGTGCTTGAAGTGCAGGAAAAGCATGGTATGAGAATACAAATGAATCTGACTTTGGTTGGTATTCAGACTTGCCTTGTATTAAACATAAAATATGTTTATGATATAAATATGTTTAAATACATCAAGCCAATTATAAGAGAGACGTCTCTCCTGCTATTAACAATGATGAGGCTTGAATGCCACTGGCAGCCGGTCGCTCTGGGACGGCGCACAGCAGGTGGGGTTTCTGCAGCTGATTGTGGAATGAATTTGTTATAATCCTTTTGTATATCAAGAAATTCCACTCTGCACAGGTTCACATAGGAAAAATAACCCCCAGTTCACGTCCTTGTGAACACCTCCCCCTTGCCTTGATGTTCAGACAGTTTGGGGATAATCAGGCAAGCCGCTGTTGATGAGTCACTTTTTCCATCTCCTCTCCTGATTTATGCATTGAGGCCAAAGCTGCTGTTACATTTAGACTTCAGATTTGCTTTACCCCCGCAGCATTGCTCTTTAACGCATTATTGTTTTATTTATACTCTAAGATGTGTACAGGTGTGCTGGCACAAATGGGAATGTTAATGTTTCCCAAAATGCTCAGTTCAGGCCAATATTTAAAATAATTATGTCATCCTGTAAACACTAACTGTAGTTTAAAATGTATAGTTATGCTGAAGTAGGTTATGTAGACTACCTGATTTCTGGCATTTTCTAAACTTTTGTAATGTTGATAATACTCTAGTAGTCTGAGCAGAGGGATGATGGGTGGGATTAAATGCAAAGGAGCATGTTTTGATAGGAAGCACAGATTAATGAACGTTTGAATAGAATTATTTTAACAAAGTGCTTGTAAAGCCAGTTTTAAAAGTGCTTTTAACTGTCTCTCTGAATCTGAGCCTGCTTTTTTCTTTGCTTTTGCGTGCTCAGAACCATAAAATTTTAGGAGTAAACTCTGTGGTTGTCTGTTTAGCTGCCTTCATTGACCATGTAAATTTGAGACTTGGGACATGTGACAACTTTACTCATTCAAAGTGACAAGCAGATGTCTAAGATTGTGCTTGACAGTTTAGTCAAAGCAGGATTACCTAAATCCTGTGCAGTTCTGCTCTTCCTGCGTTGCTGTCCTGATCGTCAAACACTTCATCTGATCTCTGCCTCTTCCAGACCCAAAGACCTTCTGCCCCAGAGCAAGTGAGTGCTAGGGAAATGTATTTTTGCTTTAAAGTATAGGCTAATTAGCTCTGTGGGAAACCTTGTTCATCCTGTCTCATGAAATTAAAGCCATCCTGGACGTGGTTGATCATTCTTGGTGTGGTGCCAGCTCACTGGTGTGGTTGGAGTGAACAATAGCGATGACAAGTCCATAGGGCCAAGTTAGTCTTGTGTGACTGGGGTGACTTTTAAAAAATGCTGCAGCAGAGTCTCCTCTCTTCTGTTTTGTTTTGGCTTTTTTTTCTTGTTGTCCCTCTCCGTGGCCAGGCCTGTTGTCCTAAAGCAACTAAGTTGTGTTGCAGAGTTGCCGGGTGAAGCTGGTCAGGTCCATGCTGGGGAAGGAGGGTCTTTGCAGTGAGACACGCAGTAGTGCTCTCAGAGAGCAGGTTTTTCTTAGCTTATTCAAGCAATAAATAATAACTTACAGGTATAGATAGTATTTGTAATTATTTCCCAGTGTTTACATCGTGACCAGCGTTTTTCTTCCCATTCAGATCTGTACCTGCCCAAGGGACATTGTCCTTTCCCAGGCCCGTGAAACACAACTACAGAAACGTTCTGCTCTGTGGAGCGCCCTTATGCTTTCCGCTCAGTCTTCTTTCCATCCTTCTTAAATTCTGTTTTACCTTTGTTCCTGGAGCAAGGCAGCCTTGCACCACATCTTCTAGCCAAAGTTAATACTTCTGGAGTTTCAGTAGCTGTTTACTCCTGTGCTTGCTGGCTTCATGTTCCCCTTTTTGTGCTGGTGCCTCTTGCTAAATCTGGCTTTGTTTCAAACTCTGCTGTGCTGAAACCAGCCCAATGACTTGAGTTGATCCATCCATTTTGAAAAACAAGGATTGTGCAGAACACCCCCGTTTGAAGAGTGGTACTGAAGCGTGTGAAACGTCAGTGGGATGCTTTTGTCATATTAATACAGTGCAAGAGGTTGTGGAGAAATCTGTTGAGGATAAAAGCCATCAAAAACATAGCAGGTGAATTTTTGTTCTTCACTGTTCATGCATTTGCGGCAAAACCTGCACATGCCTCACTGTTACTGACTTTAATGAAATCAATTTGAGCAGAAGGCATTGCCCTGCAGTGGACAACTTCTAATAGAATTAAAATGCCTTTCACCTGCTCTTTTGGGAGCATTCTAAATTTGAGCTGTAAGTGGATTTTTTTTTTTTTCCCCACAGCTGTTACACCAAGTATTCTCCTTTTACCTCATGTTACAGTAATTCAAGTAAAGAGTCTGTGGAAACTTAGATTAGAACATTTTCATGGTGTAAACGTAGTTGTTCCCTGATGGTACTGCTGAATTCAACTTCTGTTCATGACATACAGGAGTTTGATAAAATGTACATTTAAAAAAAAAAAAAAATTCACGGGAGTTCTCCAGGAGAATACTGCTTTGGTGTTTTTCTTTTTTTCCTTTCTTGAGTTGGGCGATCCATATCAGCGCTAAGGAAATTATGTGCAATTAGAAATATGTACAATGATAAAACTAAAGTCATATTCCAAACTAAAAAAATTAAGCCCTGATCATATTGGAAATGGACACATTTGATTATTAAGTTAATATTTAATATAATTGTGTACATGACTTTGCAACTTTCAGTATTTCAACTTTTCCATCTAGCTTCACTAGTTTATCTCGTCTCCATGAGCCTGTTTTCATACGATCTCAAATATGTAAATCCACTTCAGATTTTCCAGTTTGGAAATTGCTACAAACTTAATTGGAATATGGGTATCAACTCCCTGTGTGTCTGAGAGCCTGTTGGCTTCATATGTTTGTCATGTCTACTTTGGGGTGTCTTTAGCCCTTTTTCCAACATCCCTTGAACTTGGTGACAAAAGTCGTATGGTCTTTTTGGTTTCTTCGTAATGTCAGAAGATGCTAGATATTAAAAAAGTTGATGTTTCTTTTTTCATAAGTTTCTTGAGTAGCGACAGCAACAAATCAATTTTTTGTTTGCCTACAATATTAGTAAAGAACAAAAATTCATGTAGGAAACAAAAATTTCAGCTGGTAAGACAATTTTTTATAAAAAGACCTTTCAAAATAATATATTTGCCATTCAATAAAGCTGAAATAGAGCCCGAAGTACAACAGAATCCTTTAGAAATGTCTCTCATAAAATCAACATTTTGGAGAGGCAAAAATACAGGAGAAAACTAACCCAATAACCACCACCTCTTCATTTTTTAAATTTTATTTTTAAAGGATTGTGTCATTGTTAGTTTCTGAGGGGAGCAGAGATCTTCTGAAAAATGACTGCTACAATATTTGTGTTGGGGCAAAGTTACTGCTTGGCCACGTTTCAGCAGTATAGAAAACAAGTAGAACAGGTTGGTGGGAAAGATTGGTTTCTTTGCAGGCTGTTTTGTTGTTGTTGTTTTCCCCAGGTTTGTGCAGTCAATCATCTTTAGCTAATAAATCCTTTTGGCACTGCGTTTTGTTATGCGCGTTTAGCAGAATTCTGCAGCTCTTATTTTATATTTCAATGTGATTCTCATTTTCTCTTGAAGTGAGTCATGATTTACTGAGAGAATAAGCGCTGGGCAGTCTGCGTAAGTATTGCAAAGTCAGTGTTTTTCTGCTGTCACTCTCGAGTTGCATCAGGGTCTACTCTTTACTGGAAACTACCTCTCCATCAGGGCAGTGAGCACCCAGCGTTAAGAACACTCACTGCCTAACCTTTGTGTGAGCCTTTGCAGGGCGGTGATGGGCTGTCTAGGTATTGCACCGCTATAACTTATTTTCGCATCCTTCTAGGACTTTAGCTTATTGCCAGTGGGTGGAAAATCTTCACGAGACGCAAAAGATGGTTTCACTTTTTGGCCCCTTCAGTGACTTGCTGAAGTGGATCCTCTGTCATCTGACCAAAGGGATCGTGAAGCGGGAAATGTACGGCCATGGCATTGGCCGCTTCTCGGAGGAGGAGATGTACACGCTGATGGAGAAGGACATGCGGACTCTAGCAGGCCTCCTGGGTAACGTACAGCGAGTTACGCGCGTTCTGTTTGTTCACAGCCTGCTGTCCACAGGATGAAATCGACTGCGAGTACTTCCTGGCAGCTTGATTGCGTACACAAATAATCTCATTTTGTCAGTAGGTAGAGTCCACGCTGCTGCTGCTGTCATTCAGTGCCATCCTTGCTCTGGCAGGGACAGTGTTTCTTTCCCCGCTGTTTGCTACCAAATTGCGTCTCTAGAGGGGTAAGCGGCTTTCTTCTCTGAGTACTGGGTATGTGTATCTAGAGGAGCAGAACGTGGCCTGCAATTTTGGAAGAGCATTTTGCTATGTGAATTTAGGAAAATGTAGTGTATAGTTCTGCAAATGAAATCTCTTATTTTGGGGGGGGTGTCTCATTTTTTCTTCATGGGACTCATGGCTGTTTGATAGATCGTTATGAGGCTGCCATTTGAAAACCCTTTGCAGATATTATTTTGATAAGCTGGACTTTGTTGTATTTGGTTGGTGTTAGCAGCTTTATTTATTCAAAGCTGCTAGTAGGAGATGGGTCTGTGTTGTCAAAATAGGTGGTTTTAGGCTTCTTGGTTGTCATGGGTGGATCCCATAGGGTTAGTCTTAAGGTTGATCTCACTTAGCTAGAATCACATGAGCCTCATTTCTGTTGTGTAGCTGAAGCTGAAATCTGCACTGGAGCTGTCTACACTGTGCTTCTTGCCTGCGGTCTGCTGAGAGCTAACCATATTGTGCTTCTGTGTAAAATCTGCATTTTGAGGAATTGGTTTGGGACAGATTATCGCTTCCCTTGAGCTTGTGTCTCTCTTGTGCAAGGAATCAAGAGAGATGGCACCTGTGTGGCTGCTTTGTTCCCTGTTAGGATCGCTTTAAAGAGGTGGCTGAGTGGAGGGCAGGAGGGATGCCTCCATGCCCTGTGCTCCGGAGGGAGGACATACTGCACATGCTCTAAATAGGTAAGCGTGGAATGGATGGAGGGAACAAGGTGAGGAGAGCCCAGCAGAAAGCAGAAGCTGAGTGCTTGCTGAGAAAGGGAAGGGAGATGCTTCTGGACTTCCAAGGTGTTTTGGAAAGGAAGATATTTGCAGAGCACCTTGGTGGGGCTGTGTAGAGTTTTCTGTAACTTTGGTCTCTGAAACAAACCTGCCAAGTTGCTGGATTGGGAGCAAGGTGGAAAAAAGACACATGATGCATGGGCACAATGGGCAAGGGGCATATTTTTTGACAGCACCTTCTGTCAACGCTTTCTCATGCTGCATTTTGTTCGTTAACAAAAAAAGTTACCTATTCTAGTGCCTCTTCAAAGAAAACCTGAATTTGGAGCTTAAGAGGTCCCTTTCCTTTCTGGGGAGGAAGGGAGGGAGCAGCTCATTTTAGAAGTGTGGGCACATCCGCTGCAGAGCCGTGGCCAGCTCAAGGTGCCCTCAACTGTGGGACTACCGTTGCCATAGCTTTGAGGCTGGCACTGCGTGGCTCCATGTATGTTGCAGAGAGGAATGGGGTTGGGACGGGGGCTGGAGCAAGTTCAACCTATGACCTGGGAGCTCAGCAGAGCCTCCTGGTTCTGGCTAGACAATGCTGGCAGGCTGGACGGAGCAGCAGTGGATGTGTCTGTGCTAAAGTCATCCCTGTCTGCCAAGAGTAGACGTAGCCTTCAAGAGAAAACTGAAACATGTTCCCGAGTATCTGTAAAAGTCTCTTGGTTTGCTTATTTGAAGTCTGCATCCTTCTGTCTCTGAGTCTATACTGACACTCAGATTTGTAAAGTTTTCAGTTCAAAGAGATCATTAAATCATCTAGACAGATCTCTCTGAATCAGACTGCTTGGTTGCTGTCTTGAGGCCTGTGTCTTTTTTCTGGCTGAAGTGTGTCTTTCTAAAAGGCATCCAGTTTTAATTAGGAGATTTCAGCAGGTGGAGGTGCCACCACTTTCATTAGTAATTGGTGGCAGATGTTAATCACCATCAAAATCTGACCTGTTTCAAATCGAAGTTTGTCCAATTCCAGCCTGCAGGCAGATGCTCCTCCTAGTTCTTCCTCCCTCCTTGGGTGGCCTGGGTCATCTCCTTGTGAAGGTAAAGGCTATAATCAGTCTCTTTTGTTTTTGGTGGGGAAAAATCACTGGAAATCCTCAAGTATAATGTATTTTCTTCACTATGACACATATGTTTTCAGCAGGGGTTTTATTTTTACTTCCCAGATTATTGATGAGAATGTTGTGCCTTGTGTACTTCAAAAAGCCTTGATGGGCATCTGCTGTATTCCTGTTATTCATCTGCTAATGTAGTAAAATATTGTATTTTTTTTTTTCATTTTCCCCTCTGAAACGGATGTCAGATTAGTCAGTGTGCAGTTACGTGAATCATTATATTTGCCCTTTTGATTATCAGTGTGTTTGTCTACCTTTCTACAATTGCCTTGATTTTTCATTAACACCAGCATGCTCAGGTTTTCTCCAGCCAGCTGTTTATGGTTGGGTCTAGTATCTGTGGCCTCCAGGTCGTATTCTGGGATGAGGACAGGAGGTGGGATGAGGACTTCCAGCCTGACTGGAGACTCTCCTGTTTCACAGCGGGAAGGAGAAGGCAGTCAGTCAGCCTATTGCCTGCACAAAAATCTTTGAGAGATTTCCTTCCACGTGTATGTGCCCATGTATTTTCCCAGAAGAGGAAGCAGTTGGGATTTTGGCTGTTAATTAGAGGGCAATCTTAAGAGCTTAAAAAGGATGCCTGTCATGCAGAATAGCTGCACGTATGAAACTAGCTGTCAGTCATCAGGCATATCAGATTAATTTAATGCTCCCCATTTTTTAACAGAGACCATTCACATGGGAACAAGAATAACTTTTAAATTCCAAGAGCTGCTTCCAGAGAATGATAACTTGGCAGCTGTCAGGTCTTGTGACACTCATTTTGACATTCCCAGTCACATCTTGAGTGCTTTTTTCCTTTCTGTCTCATTTCTGAGAATAATTTTTCCTTCTCCCATGTACCTATTTCCCTAACAGACTCCTCCAGATCTCTTATAAACTTGGAAATTGGAACTAATCCTCCTGTGATGGATCAGCCTGCCTGTTGGTATCATCTTGCTCTCTGTCCTGCTGTCTTTAAATCACAAATGTAATTTCCTTGTGTTGTAGTAGTTTCCTACTGCCTGGTAGTAGTGTAAGGAAGTGAGGGGAACTGGGCATATGAACTAGCAATATATTAAAAAAATACACATTTTGGTACTTACTTAAAAGATGCAAGTAAGTGAGCAGTGCCCATAAATCTGTTTAGTGCCCTCTCAGCTGTCTGCCTGCCTCAGGCTTTTGGGTAAATGGGGATTTTGAGCGGGGAGTTGCAGGGCAGCAGCTGCCTGAACCAGCTTTTGAAAAGCATTTGGCATTTTGTGGAGGGCAGGGGTGCTCAGAGCTGAAATACAGAGGTGGGACTAACCTGAACGTGCACCTCTAATGCTAGTTGAAATGCCCTGCAGCAGCCTGTGTGGGCTGTATGTGCTGCTGTGGAAGGGTGCAGGTCTCCTGCTGGCACTGTGTCTCATAGATCTGTCTCTTGCCAGGGTTTCTTGACCCAGTGCTGAAGTATCTGCTTTTGAATCATCTGGTGCATGCATCTGTAAATAGTGGAGCTGTGTGCTCTCAAATCTCCGGGTGGTACAAATTTGATCCAAGTCCAGTGTGACAAGGTGATTGCATTTCTGTTGGATTAGCCAGGGGATGCAGCGAGGTGTTTTGAGATGATTAGCACTATGGCAGCCTTGATGTGACAGGCGCTGTGTAATCTGGCATAAAACTAGACACTGAGAGATGATACCTGGTTTGTCAGAAAGTCTTCTGGAAAAATGTTGCACTGGAAGTTCTGTGAACGGATTGGAACTGGTGAAGGAAATGTGCATGGAGGCTATGTTATGTGGTGCAGGCTGACCTAAAATCAGATTTACAGTCTTATGGAACCGCAGCTCTATTTCCTCCTCTTCCCCTTTGTTTCCATGCACCTGAAGGTGCAGGTGTTGTGCCTGAGGAGCCACTCTTTGCAAAAGAGCGGGATGGTTCAGCCCTCACTCACTAGCCCACCTTAGTTGTAGCAAGATGGAAGTGGCAGTATTACTTCCCAGCACAATATCGTTATGGATCGAGTCTCAGACCCGGTTGTATGGTGCTAAATTCCTAGTGTTGGCATATGGCTGTGGTTTGGGGACCAATTTTTGAGCTGTGTTTGAGATCGAGGAATACTGATCACATAAATACTGAAAAGACACGACATTTACCCTGTACATAAGTTTTCAAACAACAGATTGATGCAGCCATGAAAGAGCTGGGGAGAGTTAACTCCATGTTAAAATTATATCTGACAGGCTAGAGGAGGTTATTGTTACTGGTTATTCCTGAGCACTGCTTTGCTACACTATAGTACAGGAGAATGACAGCATTCGTTGTACCATACTCTGGAATTTGATGCATTTTACTGCTAGACAGTTTTTTTTTAAAACTCACTCAATAACCCTAACATTTAATAACCCGCTGAATTACAGGCAGCTTATATTGGGCAGGGGAAGAATGTCCTGGGGAGATGGGATAACTGGATTTGGAGAATTCAATTACATACCACATTTCACAGTTCATAGCACTTTGGGCCAAGGCAGGGACAGTGCAACCATCTAACCCGCCCTCTGCAATACCGCATGTTTCACCTGCGTGCCCTTTGTGCGGTCTTTGCTCCAGGTCTTGTGCCTGTGATGAGGAAACAAGTTTATATGGGATGTTTCTTTGCAAACAGTGGCTTTGAAACGTGATTTTCTTCCCTATCTTAGGTAGTTATCCATCTGTTTGTGCTGTGGTGGCTACTTAGGACCATCATGGCATTGGGGTGCCCAAAGAGGTAAGCAGAATAGCGGTGTGGAGCAGACATGCCCTCCTCTGACCCAGGCCAGTCCCAAGCAGCTGCTGTTTCACTTGCCTGCCTGTGTACCTGACGTGCCTCTGTTTGGTCCCTGCCAGGTAGAAACCAGTGTTTGGGGGTGGGGGCACTGCACTGGTGGTGTGTGAGAGGAGCTGTTCACTCCTGCCCATGGCTGTGTCCTCCTCCTGGAGATGCAGGTCATTTCTGAGCAGTCGCTGCCAGTCTGACTGGTGCCTCGGTTTCAGCCTGAACAAATGGTGGGAGAGGAAAGCTTTGGGTATGACTTTCTTTTTTCGTGTGATCAGATGAGTAACCTGAAACTGGATCTGCACGCACGAGTGACACAGGGTGACCAGCTTCTTTCAGCAGGTGCATTCATGATTTCGAACCATGGTTGAACGATTATGGGTTGGCACCAAAGGAGAAAATCATGCTTTCAGGTACCTGCTGGCTGCAGAGAAGACTTTAAATGCAGTAGAACTAGCGTGGTGTTTATGCGCTGCCAGCTGTGATGAGCAGAGGAGGTTACTTGGCCAGTGGTGGCTCTGTAACTGGCCTAGTTATAGAAGTGGTGAGCACAGGGGGAGGCGCAGTAATTTTTTTTGCTGAACCCTAGCAACAGCTTTTGAACCATATTCAACATCGAATCCCTGTCTTTGAACCAGTGAACCTGTTCAGCTAAATGATTTCAGTAAAAAAAATACACTAAAGATGTAACCACGGAAATTTTTTTTCTTTTTTAATTGGGGAGAAGTGACATCCAGTTGAGAAATGCTTGCTGTTGTATTTACAGGTGACAAGAAGTACATTATGGGACCAACCGTTTCCACTGTTGATGCCACTGTCTTCGGGCATCTGGCACAGGCAATGTGGACACTACCAGGGACCCGACCAGAGAGACTAATCAAAGGTAGGAAAGCTTAAGTGATCTCTGATGAAAAACTCTTGGTGGCATTTTCCATGTTTAAACTTGGAGCACCTTGTAAGGACCTTGTTCTCCCAAATAACTAGTGATAGGACGAGAGGAAATGGCCTCAAGTTGCGCCAGGGGAGGTTTAGATTGGACGTGAGGAAAAATGTCTTCACTGAAAGAATGTTAAACATTGGAAGAGGCTGCCCAGGGAAGTCGTTGAGTCACCATCCCTGGAAGTATTTAAAAGACGGGTAAATGAGGCGCTTAGGGACATGGCTTAGTGGACGTGGTGGTGTTGGGTTGACAGTTGGACTTGATGATCTTAGAGGCCTTTTCCAACCTTAATGATTCTATGACATTTGAAGACTGCAGCAGCACTTCAACTGCATCACAGGCTGTTCTTGCCTTTGATGTAGCATTTGTATGCTGTAACGTTGTTTTCTCTTAAAATTCTTGTTTGTTTTCTCTTTAATGTTCTACGTGGTAATTGTTTCTGTTCCTGTACTTGATCTTTTCCCTGTTTAACATAGCAAAGACTGAATGCATCTAAGGAATGAATGCTGGGTAAAGTATGAGAAGACAGAAGCAGGGCCATGAGCCAAATTCTGCTGAACTGAGTAGTTTCATTGATGGTGGAACTGCAAGTGCTATTGTCCCACTGAAATTACAGCCTGTGCTGTTTCTGAAGATGCTGGGAAGGAAGAAGTCCAGCCTGACTTTGGAGTCACTGTGTTTTTGCATGAATTGGAAACCAATATACCCCTCCCCTCTGCACTTTTTTTTTACTTTTTTTCCTTGTGGGGGTGGTATAGGCATGTGAAAGTATCTTTGCATCCCTTTTCAGAATAAAACCACACAGTATGAAGAATGGGAAGAGCTAAGAAGGAAAAGGATGTGAAATAGGTGTAAAAGGAATGAATCTGACCTGTAGGTCTACTCTGTGCAAGAGAGAGCTACTAAAGCAACAGTTAGGAGGCATAGACTTGGTCATTATTAAAACTTTGAGGAAAAAAAATACTTGAGATGAGGACATAACTATTGTCTGTA